GTTGGAGCCATTTTCAGTCGATAAACAAAATCAGAGCCCAGAAACTTTCCTGCTGTTTTTCTTCTCTAATTTAACAGAACAGATGAAGAATTAACTACCGAGTAAAAACTCTGTTCTTGATATTCAAATTTCTCTAAGAATTCAAGAGAAAATGAAGAAATTTCTAAAAAAAAAAAAGATTTTTGAATGTATACGTATTTCAAGAAATGAATTAGAATTAAGAATTTTCTTGAGAGCTGGAAATGAAGAGTTATGGGGACGGCATGAAACAGGGAGGATTTGATTTGATTTGATTTTGATTGTAGGGTTTCTTTTGATTTCTTTCAAGTTTGAAATTAGAAGTAGCCGTTACGATTCTAACGTCTACTTTTTGCAAAACGGATTTAGGCCCATGGGATTAATTGCACGTGATTCGATTGGCGAATAAGGGCCCAATCATACTTTTATTTTTAAAATTTCAAAAATAATGTCTTTGGACATGTTTTGAGCCCCATTTTTGGTGTAAAATATATTTTGGAATAATAGATTAATGGAGAATATATGGTTAGAAATGAAGAAAAAGTTTTTGAATTGCGTGTAATATTATTTTATTGAAAAATATGTGATTGAATAGAAAAAAGAAAAAATATATTTTGAAAAAAATGGGGATCGAACAAGTTCTTTGAAAATATTATTAAAACGATCGAAAAATTCCTCGAGTACAGGAATTTTTGACAGATTTTTGTTAGAAATTTGAAATGCTTCAATCCTATCCGTCTGTGTGTTCAATCCCTTCCCTTCATTTCAAATTTCTGTATGTTTTCTGGCAAAAATCTCTGTACTCGTAATAGGGTTCAAAACGATCATGCTACATGTACATTATAGTTGACATTATTCTTTACATTCTTTCACATAACACCATCTTATCCATTGATTTTCCTAACAATCTTTCACATCACTACCCAAATTGTACCACATAGAGTCAACAATGTGGTAAGGCAAGATATATACAAAAAAAACCTTGCTAATTAAACATGATAATAGACCTGATTAAATGGAAGTAGTTCATATACACGCGGAACCAAATCTACAAATTTGACTTGTCGTTGTTGTTTCTCTTGTTGCTCGTTGGACATGTAAACCCAATCGAACACATCGGTGGAATCATCTTGTCGTGATTTCGCAGATAAATTTTTGTGTGTGTGCATTTTACTTCTTCTTCTTCCTTTTTTTTTT